TTTTCTGCCCTTGTTCTGTAAATGCTTTCTCATCCTTGCCGACCCTTACTCTGAAACAATAGTCTTACTTGGGAGACGTCGCACACGCACGCACTTCATAACGACGATATCGATCGTCACCATCAATTGATGGAAATAACCCGAAGCCTCAAACTATTTGACTCTCCTGCTTTACTAACGCGGCTGGCTTAATCTGTGGCCTTGCTCAGGACGCTTTCATCAGTGATTTTCAGACCTTCTTCACACTTTCTCTTCGCGCCGGTTCTCCGCCGACTTTTATTCTTGGTCCATATTGACCGTACACTGCCTTCTCTGTGCACTCTCCAGAAACCAGACCACAAGCGACACTCACTCGACCGCGCCGTGTACCGAATGACCCATGATTTCGAAAATGAAGTAGCGATTGAGAAGGTTGACTTAGGCGGCGAACAGGATTTTATCTAAGAAGTTATTTTTCAAAAACAAACAAATAACAATGACACGACTCCAATGAACGAATCAATAAAGAAAGCGAAACGACCACGGCTAGTTCCAGAAGATTAACTAGACAACTTCTGTCATGTTTCGATCACTCTTTATAGGCGTGCATATGTGTGTGTGCGCGCCGTGGGCGTGTCAGTGTGTGGGTGTGTGGTGCTGCTCTCGGTAAGTATGTCGGTGTGTGTGATGTGCTATATATTGGTCCGATGAAGTAATACTGGTAGTAGTACATAGAATGACATCAGGTAATAACAACTAACGATGGCGGTATTAAGGAGCGTCAGAACTATGTCACCCAACTCACCCTAGCGCCTGTTAAAGACAGATGATCAATTGCTGTTCGACTGTGCGTCGAAATACATTTTTTTTGCAGGTTCACCAGAAACAGGCTTATTCGTTATTGTTTACCATGACGTTTTTACAATGTTCGAATCCTTCGTATTTTTGTTGACATCCTGTTTTTTAATGACCCTTTATTTGTTTGTCTATGAATTATATTCGCCTGAATGGTTGGTGCTGTTCGAGGTCAGTGACGCGTTGTAGACAATTACTTGTTTATGTGGTTTCCTCAATTTACTTATTTATTATTATTTATTTATGCGTACAATAAAGCGCCAGGTCAGCACCAAGGCCTATGCAGAAGATTGGTACAAGAACTAAGTGATTCGAGAATCAAACAGAAAAGAAATAACAGAAAAAAAAGGGAACAAAAAAATGAGAGGTAAAAAAAGCAGCGGAGCAAAAGAGAAAAAGAAAAATACACGAAAAAAGAAAATACGAGGAGGAACTGCCATGCGTTACCAAAAACACTCAAGCCTCGGAAATTAAAGTAAGAAGATGCCGTGGAAGTAGAGAGACCGTAAAAGGTGTGGAGACTCAGACAGTAGGGCTACAGCGCCTTATGATATGTAACTCCTCGATTTGAAGAATTGTTTGTCGGAGACTCTGTGGAGTTGTGCCTGTCGGCCGGAAATGCATATTTCCAATCAATTCAGAAGCAGAATGATCGCATCTATATAGTGAAAGAGAATGGTAAAGAGGACCATAAAAACTGATAGAGGGACAGCGAATTTTAAGCGCAGCAACAGTGAGACGTTTGTTACAACAGCGATATAGGGTGACAAGGCATCATTGGTGTCGACCTACAGGGACTGATAGCAGCCAATAAATGATTGGATATGGTGGAGTTCACCAAGTACCGCCTGTCGCCCCACACATAGTGGTTACTGTTGCTATACTAGTTACCGCTTTTGGAAAAAATTCTTACTATACTATCCTCCTGTAATACATATGACAAAGAGCAGATTTCGACGTATTGTGCGGTCCCGGAGCCTCATAGGAGTCTGAATGTAAGAACAAGTCAAGAGGCACTAGAACGTATTGCAGAAAAAGATTTTCATGAGACGTAAGATGATAAAGATGTATTGCAAGGAAAGAAGAAAGGAGTTTCTTTTTTGCAACAGTTTTCGGCCTATTTTCTTCTTTGTTTTCACATTCGAAGAGCGGATTGTCAAACTGAAGCTCTCGTTTGCTGTGCCTTCAATGAAGCTTCCCACAGCTCGTGACTTACAGAGGAAGGGGGGAGGGGGCAAAAAAAGTCACTTCGACCGAGTTACATATCAGCAAAGTTCTCGCAGCCCAGATAGAGAACGTGGATGTGGGAACCAGGAAGATACTGGAGAGGACCTTTGGAATTCATGTCACCTCCAAACAGCTGCAACTTCTAGTATGGGGTCACCCATGGATAGCTACCTGAAGACCAGTACACTCAATCTGTAATACCTCCGACATCGAGCAGCAATCTATAATACCTCCGACATCGAGCATCGAGCAGCTACGAACGTCGCTACGGTCTAGGACATCATCTGCACCGCAGTCGCCAAGACGCGAGTTGATGGTAGGGACCGGACGTACCTGAAATGGGAAGACCGATATTTTCTTCGTAGACCCCGGACTGAAAGTGAGCGCTGGCGCTTACATCAAGCAACTCGAGAAGAATAACTTCCTTTCATGTCGTCACCCGCACCATCTCGGAAACTTTGTACTGCTGCAGGTACGGGCGCCACCACACAGAATCAGGGACGCTGGAAAAACTCTCGCCTACTTGAAATGGAAGGGAGTTAAGTACCTGAAGAAGATGGAATATCTGAGTGTGTTACCTGACCTAAACCCCCTCAATTACCCGGTTCGGGCGGAGCTCAACAGGATGGTCTATACACCTTAAGTGGCGGAGAAATCAGTTATCTCGCCGAACACAGGTACAGAGTCACGGTCGCGCAGTAGAATCTCTCGACGACGCTCCTCCAGAAATCTGTGGCGGAGTATCATAATAGCATTTAATATGCTGTTGAATAGGCGGTAGAAATATCCGATCAGAATTCAATAAAGTGTAACTTATAGCGCCTCGAAAGTCAAGGAAGAAAAGTGACTTTTTTTGGCCCCCCTGTATAAGGTCCAAAATGAAATTGCTGATGTTAAGTAACTCACGAATGGAAACGTTGATGGAAAACGTTGTTATACGAGAGAGGGTTGGAAGATGAACAGGGTTGTTCTGCTTCTTCTTGCCGTTGTCCCGCACTGTCGATGAGTCCGTTGTTCTTACTAGACGTCGCCAATCGTTCCGATCCACTCCATCTTCTGCTATGGCGCTCAAGTGATGTCCTGACGACGTTCCTCCTTCTTTTCTTTCCCTCTTTCTCTGGTGGTCGCTTGCCCTGCCTGTTGGGCTCCAACACCTTGCTTATTGGGTAGCTTTCAGGCCTTCTTATACCATTGCAGTCACTGCGGCGTCGGCGCCGTCTGTGTGACCGCCCCGATGTTCGGATTTCTGACCCTGTCGAGCGCGGGCCTACCTCAACATTCTCATTTCAGCTGAGTGGAGCTGCCTCTCCTGGTACACCTTGCCCTTGAGCGTTCTCGAGCACTCTTCCGCAGAGAAAACCTGTGGAGGCGCTCCATTTGATTCAGGCTGCATTGACTCGATTTTTATTGCCCGATCTACACTATCATCCGCTCCTATATTACTCTCTAGGTAGTGGAAATCCTCTACCATCTCAGCAGTGACGGTCGACGAGTGCATTCTTCGGAGCCGGTACCGTGGCAATGTCGCCAGCCTAGAGGATGTTTTTCACCGGCCCCTCTATCGAGTTCTTTTTCCATGACATCCAAAGTCAGCAGAAGAGGAACTGGCTTAAGGCTGCCTTTTGGTGTACTCCAACCGCAATGTCAATCTCCTTTATGAACCAGTGTGGGGTGCTTTACGTACCAGTGTGGTGTGTTGTTTTAGGTCCATTATACTCCATTATACAACTGGTGGACGGGGTTGCTTTGGCGAGTGATGGCCTCTGACGCTCACCTTCGAGAACTGTAAGTGACACAGACTGCAGAGAAGACTGTGCTACCATATACGAAGAGGGGTTCCATAATTCAGTTTATAGTGGTAATCGTCTTGAGGAACACTAACTTGGCTTCAGTTGGCAGGCAGCGATTACTCGATATGTGGATAGCTGCCATGCACCAGGTGGCGCGGTCGGTAAACGCACAGGACGTCCCACTTTCAGGACACGAAGGTACTTGCTGAGAAGGTTTGAGGTCTGCTGCGTTTGAGTCTCCACCTCGGAAATTGATCTCTTTCTTAATTTTGTATTTCTTTTTCGCGAGGGTAGGGTCACGTGACATCTTGAACTTTTGTACATGGTCCCATGGTCCCGTTGCGGAACAAAGAAAAGCGGGCGGATAGAGGACAGCGCCTGTTAAAGCATCGAAACGTGTTAGAAATTATGGCAAGCCAGGAAACGAGCTCTTCCAAGGAGAGGGGACTCTGAGATGAGTGAGCCACTCATCATACGTGAAAAGCTGGAATGTGCGAGTCACAATGACATAGAGTGCTACGCGGACGAGGAAGAACAGAGGAAAACACAGATTCGACGCGTTCAAAGTAATTGAGTTCAAGTTGTCCGTAGACCCGAGGGTAGACGCGGTCTACCTCGCTCGTGCACTCTTTCGCAATCTCATCGTTGTTTCTTCTTTGCAAGCTCGCTCTCTCCACCGTGTGCTGGCGCAGTTTGTCGACGGGGGGGGGCATTCTGCTTTCCATAGATGAGCCGACCCATCTAGGTAGCCTTTTCTCGAGTTAACACGTTTTAGGATGGTGGCTAGACTATCTTGCACCAGCTTCACAACGGTTCACAAGTTTACCAGGGCGAGATTTGTAAACCGGAACTAGGGAACCAATAGCAGTACAGAATGCTCTCCCCCCCTGTCGACAAACAGCGCCCCATGTGCCCTTACTGTGCTTAGTGTCAGCAGGGGCCTATACAAGGGAGTTTCAGAGTTCTTTCTACTTTTTTGTCGTGTAACTCAGTTCGCACTCACCCCTACTTACTGAACCTCAATACTGGCATTCGCGGACTGCGTCTTTGAGCTACAAATTTCCGTTTGCTCTCCAGCATTATTTCAATCAGCATATTGTCTAGAGCGAAATAAAAAAAGTCCGGCGCCCGCACTCTGACGGATTTGAAATGGAGAAGGATGAAGAGTGGTTGGACAGAGCAGTAACTATGGATAAAGTGTACAAGTTCTTTCGGTCAACCAAAGACCTCGCCATCGCCAACGTTTCTTTCAGCTCTTACTACGGTCAGGTGGGTGACATGTGTCAGCTAAAGCTTGTGAAAGGGAGTTTGATCCACCGTTTCACCGTAAGATGACGATATAGATCTAAGATTTATCCGACTTACGTACTCTTCAGGTAACTGTGCTACTCGGCCACGATGGATCGGGAAAATCCACAATAATGAAGCTCATCTCTGGAGATTATGAAGCGACGCGAGGTATGTCATTAGGTGCGCTGCTGCGTCGTGAGGAAGAAGCACACAGCATTTCAGGTCTCATCGGTGTGCTAAGTTTGGTGAAAAAACGTAATAACAGGCATCGTGGCAAGGATATTGGATATTGCTCAGAGGAAATAACACTATTCGACCACCTGACAGTTTTTGAACACCTATGGTTTTTTTATTGTTTGAAGACAGGAGCAGAGGATTGGAAAGGGGATGCTGTATCTACAGCCAATGATGTTGGCCTAAGTGATTTTCTCAATAAGGTCTCATTCCATTCAAAGCTTCCTTTTTTGAATGCCAAAGCCCCTTTTTTAAATTTGAACCCTCAAAGGCGAAGGTTCACTCATCTCCGAGGACGGTCCTTGCCACCTGCGAGGCGAAAGGGTCCGTGGTGTGTTGCTGCTCCAGTCAAAACTGCACTTGAACGGGTTCGGGATAGTGGTACCCACGTTCGTTTTCATACTCCGCCCACGCTATCCTCAAGGTGCAGCACTTGGTCGGTACCAAGCCCCGTTGTCAGCGGTAATGAACAACAGAAATGAGAATGCATAGACAAGAAGCGCACTCCGTCATGGTTAGGCAGCGTCCAGTCTTCGCGACGGCAGTGCTCCGGTCGCGCGTTTGACGCGATCGATGCGAGCATACGCATCGGTCGTGGGATCGCGCGAAAGAAGCGCTGCCGTCGTGAAGTCTGGACGCAGCCTTAGGCGGGCGGAAGTATGATGACAGCATTCGGATAGCTCCCCTCCAGATCCGCCCTCATGCACTTTTGACCATAGAAATCGGCTTGCCATCTCAGCTGTGGATCTGCTCTCCCTACGACAAGGGCCAGGAACTACTTGAGAGACTACACAGGTTGCCTTTGAGTCATAATGGTATGCATTACTCAGCCCCCGCAACCAGCGTGGATTGCACCTCAGGAGGGACGCTAGGCTCACCCCCAAGGACGACCCCAGATATGTGAGACGTGAACAAGTTCGGAGCCGTAGAAATGTGCTAGTTTCGCAGCTCACGAGCGTGTGGAAGTGAAGTGTCTTATCGAGGCATTTTACAGAAGCCAGCGCAGTTGAATGAAACTAAGAAACGACTGTTGAGCCTTGCGATTGCCTTCGTTGGTGGTAGTCCTGTTGTACTAATGGATGATCCCTTCAAGGGACTTGACGCTGAGACGAAAGACATTTTCAGGAACATATTGGATGTGAAAAAAGATGAAAGGTATCCATTCCGTGAGTAAAGTGAAGAGGACTCATGTATATTTGATTTAGGTGTATCCTGGTGGCAACGTCTTCGACCGAAACAGCTGAAATGATCGGTGATCGCATTGTAATGCTCAGTAACGGCAGAGTTCTTGCAGCCGGATCAATTCCGTTCTTGAAAACAGAGTAAGTGCTTGGGATACGATTATCGGCTGAGCTCCTTTAATCAGATGTAGTGATATGCATACAACATATTGCCGCCCTGCCGTGAGGTTGGCGGAAAAGTCCTTTCAATTCTTCTTAGATTAAAGACTAATTGTGTTGTCACCTCCAAAGACGATACTCTTCATGTGCTGAGTGAAGGGCGGGCTTGCAGTGGTAGGCCACTTTCACCGCTCAAATAAGCACGGGAACGGTTTTGAAGGGTAGTGACTCCCGGGCGCCGACTCGTGCCTGGCCACCTTGCCGCACGAACAGCCCACCCGCCCGACACGAAGCCATAATCGCCATGGCGACTGTCTTCGCCCCACTTCTGTTTGTTCTCTACCGCTGAATGCGTGTTTCGCTGAGAGATCTTTAGAGCTGCAGGATGGCATGGCTGGAGTCAGGGAGTGATACAAGAGAATCGCCACTCTCCAGCCCAGTTCCCGTGCACTTTTAAGCGTCGAAAGGGCATGCAAATGTAGCAGAGCGCACATTCATCTCATATACGGCAAGAGCTGCCCTCGCAGGTGAAGGCCGTCGAGAGAGCTTCGCGCTGACAGCCCAGCCAGTTGTTGACAGTGGAATGCATAATCGGGCATCAAATTTTCTAGCTGGAGAAGTGCGCGGGGACATTTTTCACTACTCTCTCCTTCTCTCATCAGTTTTTCTGCGGGAGGTGTACCCTCCAATTTTAGATTTGGCAGCAGTTACATCCTCAACGTTTTGCTCAGCAGTGAGGCTTCGAATCTCCCCAAAACAATACCCAACATAGAAAGGGTACGTTTTCGGATAATTTATTTTATCTTGATCTTCAAATAATGGCTTTGTGTTCAGACGGTCCAAAAATTTGTTCCAAGTGCCGAGCTTCGGCTTACATGTGGCAAATCAGTCCAGTTTGGTTTTAATAGCAACGATCATAATGAGTGAGCAATCAGAGATATGCCAAAAATTCTTTCCGCTCAGTGGGATCTGTTTAGGCATATTGCTCTTCTACGTGGCCTCGAAAGAATCGCGTATAAGCTGGGAATTTCGGAGTATTACATCACATTGTGTACACTGATGGATGTTTATCGGAGGTCTATCCTTTCTCAAAGCTATTCTGATGCCAAATTCGCAACTCAACTTGATATCGTCGCAAAATGTCGTGGGATTGAGAACGGTTAATTGAGTTCTCCTTGCGGCGTTTCCACCACTGGTTCCTTTCTTCCTAAATCCATCTTTATCGAATCACTATCGGTAGAGAGTGGCAACCGGAAGGGGGCTCATTTCTCCTCTCATGAAAACGTCCCGACTGGCTGCGACAATATCAGCTACCTGGGTAGAGCATTGTTTCGTAAAACACATAAGAGAGGTCATACTTTTCCGCTGGGAAGGGGAGGGGTCGTCTTTGGTCGTTGGGATAGAGGGAGGGGGAGTCGTGTGGGCCTTTGAGAGAATTTCGCCGCGTTGGAAGAAAAATTTTTCAAAGTTGTTGACTTTTTCTATTCCATGTGTACTATATACATCCCCCCTCTCCAGACAGCAAAGTTTTGATTTTGGGGAAAAGTGGAAAATTTCGGGAAGTCCCGGAAAAGTGGGAGGTCGGGGGAAATTCCCCCGTTTTCGTTTCCCCCCTCTCCTCCCGCTCGATGTAAAATTTTTGGGTGGAAAAACTGGAAAATGGAGGAAAGTGGTAAAAAGGTGTTGGGAAGGGGGGGGGTCTTACCGAGACCCTTATTTAGGTGGAGGGTGATACCTACACTATCTTTCACACCTTACGATGCGGTATCCTGCTACATCACCGCATCTGCAAAGCGCTCGGTGTCACCTAGTCACCTGATGTCCAGACTAGAAGCCTCGAGAGACGTTCCCATACAGAGGGACCAAAAGAAACTTTTCTCTCGACCTCGAAGTGAAATGAGTTACATTTTATTGATTCCTGTTTGCACATTTCCACCATCAAATCTAACAACACATTGCACACGATCGCGGAACTCCGCCATAGCCTCCTGCAGGAAGGCCATCAAGATGTTCTGCTACGCGACCGTGATTCGGTGCCTTAGTTCAGCGAGGTCGTTGGTTTCTCCGCCACAGTAGACCACCTTGAGCTCAGCCCGAAAACTATAGTCGAGCGGTTGTGCTGGCCCCCAATCCTGTGACGGTACGAAGTTTCCAAGAAGGTACAGGCCATGACATGAAGGCAGGATATTCTTTAAGAGGTGGTCGATAGTCCGGGGTCCACGAAGAAAACATCGGTCTTTAAATTCTAGGAATTCCGGTCCATACCATCAACTAGCGCCTTGACGACTGCAGAGAAGATGATATCCTCGATCATGGCGACGTTGTCGGAGTTGCTCGATGTTGGAGGCTCCCTGCTCAAGAGTGCCGTTCCCCAGGTAGCCGTCTATGGATGACTCGATACAAGAAGTTTCGCAGCTGTTTAGATTTGACGTGAATACCATAGGCGATCGTCAGTTCGATTGCCGTTGCAGATGGCTTCATATTTCGGTGAACATGGACGAGAGCCTGCTTCTGCTTATCGAAGAACGTCTTATGATTCTTCCGCCCTGGTGCTTACGGATATGTGCCTCTGGCAAAGTGACTTTTCTTCCTCCCAACCCCCCCCCCCCGGCATTTCCATCATAGTGCACCATTGCAGAACGTTGAACTTTTATTTTAACGCGCTTTTCCCTTATTCAAATTAGCCTCTTCAGTTTTGATTCGCATGTGAAGAAATCCCTTTCAGAGTAGAAATTTGTAACTTCAAGGACGATAGCGATTACGAGGAAGATGAAGAGGAACCTGAAGCTCGCCGCGGTGGGTATAATAGTGCATCACCTATCGACAGGACTTTCTAGTCACTGTTTCAGGCGTATGCTCACTTGATCAACAGTTTGGGATGCTAATGAAGAAACGTCTATACTTGTTGCCAAATTTTCACTGCTGCTTTGTGGCGGTGAGGACATTTACAGGGTCTGCTGAAGAACGGGCTAGACGGCTTTTGAACGCAAGACTCAGAGAGCAAGTGATCATGGTTTAGGCAAACGAAATTCCTTTGGTATCACTAGTTTTTGTTTAAGTGCAGCTGCTGCAGCTTCGCTTCCCATCCATTAGCACACCCCCGGGTGAGGTCGAACGCATCGCTGCCTAAATCCTGGTGGCTTATCACATTCGCTAGCGGCTATTTCCTTCCAATCTGGATGTCGTGCATAGCAGAGTTTGTTATTATTTCATTGGTGCTCCAACACCAGTCGGCTCCCTGTTTGCCAGCGAAAGCTTCTATAGCCGATCTATAGCCGAAGTTGTCTAATGTAGTGAAGTCTTAAGTTGTTCTGCCTGCCGTCGCAATGCTGGAGGGGGTGGGGTTCCTCCTGGTATGTCGGGCGGAACAAATTATTCTCTTCTGACCTATTGAAGTCCAGGTCGAGCATGTACGGATTGAATGTCGCTGTGGGGCGTGCCATGTCACTATAATCATTACCATTCTGTAATGATAATAGTTCAGTCAACGACTCCTTTTTCTTAGCAGCTTTACGAGGCGCGCTGAATCTGAAGAAAAAAATAGAATTTTTACGTGCAACACACAGAAGTTCCACAAGCTAATAAAGGCAAAGTCCGCGTTCATTCTACCACAGAAGTGGATTACGGATACGCATATAGATGAAAACGTACTGAGTAACTTGATAGTGAAAAAGCGGAAAAAACATACCAACTGCTCTAGCTAAATTCCCATTTCGATCCCATTTTGTGCGTTCCCAATTGTCGTGCAACGGGCGACTCTATCCCTCCGCAAATGCATCTGGGCACGGGGCCTACCGTGGAGAGACTCGTGCTTAGCGCGGTTACATGGAACGCTTGCCTCTTCTCGCCTACGGTGTTGCCACGGGGATCCGTTGTTGCTATCCGCCATCAGATCAGTCAGGTCCCCTTACTGTCCCCTAAGGTGGTGAGCTAGCTCTACGATCACTACTTGACCGTTACCCTGCTACGCTACGCCGCCATCCACGCAGGCTCTCACCTAAGCCATTACTGCCCTCAATAGCCTGATCAGACAAAAGACGCCGTTGCATTTGACGGTACGCACACAACAACATACCGAATAACCATGATGAACTAGCCCTGTTCAAGGTAGTTGCTGGCTAAACCGGACAATGACAACACAGCACACTACACGGTTATTTACCTCTGCTAGCGCAGCGCAATTAACTATGCAACAGTAATGAGAAAAAGAACTTACTTAATGAAAAGCTGTACTGCCCCCGGGTGGGGACGATTCTTGCCTGATACCTGCGGGCCCGAGGGTACAGCCGCGCAGTTAGGCGCAATTCTCACCGTCGGCCTGTGCAGGAAGATTCGGATGCGCTGCCACTCCTAATGGTGAACTAGGAGATGTTGCGGGCGGCCCTGAGATGCAGCCTCCCCGTGGTACGGCCTTGTCTAATGGATGAAGCAGCGAACAGCATAACATGGCATGAAGATGTTGAAAGCTGGGCGAAAGAGCGGAGAGGAGCGACCAGTTACGGATGTGCGGCTGCATCGACGTAGACTGCATTGACGGGTTCAGCAGGATGAAGCCCGCCTCTGCGTCCCTAGCACCCTTCTCGGAATGCTAAGCGCGCCCGGAGGCCGCCGCCACCGCCCACCATAAAACAAGCCCCTTTTG